GATGCCGATTGGTTGTAAAGTAACACTAAGAAAAAAAAGGGCTTGGAACTTTCTTTTTGGATTAATTAAACTCGAAGCACCTGAAATTACTAACTTTCAAGGCTTTTCTGAAGAAAAATTTGATCAAGACGGAAATTATAACTTGGGAATAAACGATTTAAACATTTTTTTCAGAGTTCCTTATAATTTAACTTTCAAAAATCAAGGGGTTCAAATTACCATTGTCTTTAAATCTAATTCTCGTGAAGAAAATAATTATTTTTTACATTTGTTAGGTTTTCCTTTTAAGAAAAAAAATTAATAAAATAAAAGGGGGGTCAGTTGTCTTTGGCTTTAAAAATTAGGCATTGTCAACTTTTTTTAAATGAGAGAATGGTTTTTTTATTTATTTTTGCGACCTTTTCTTGACCTCAAAAAAATCAGGACTATTCCCCCCACAATAAACATTGCCGGTATTATGGCTAGTCAATTAAGTTTGCTTTCTGCCTTTTTAGTAGAAATTTTTGGTTCTTCGCTTGGCGGAGGAGGTGGATTGTTTTCCCTGTCATTAGGAGATGGATCGCTAGTGAAATTATTCATTCTCAAATCTCACAATTTCTTTTCTAAATCTTTTTTCTCATTTTCATAATCAGAATTATCGGTCTGGTCTTGGTTCTCTGGCTGGTCTAATTTCTTTTTCAAGTCCTCTAGTTTTTTTTCTATTTCTTCTTTTTTGCGGTCAAATTCAGCATCTTTAAACTTAAAATTGTCTTTTGTTTCTCGGCTCCTTTCCTCCTGTTTGCTCTGCAGTTCTTCTTCTCGTTGCCGGTCTCTTTCTTCGCGTTCTCTTTCTCTCCTCTCTTGGTTTTCCCTTTCTCTTTGTGCTTGTTCTTGCTGGGCTTGGGCTTCTTCTTGGGCCATGCTTTCTCTCTGTTGGCGGGCTTGTTCTCCAATATTAGCAAGGTCCCGAATTAGATCATTCAGCCGTCTTTGTAAGTGGTTCAAACTTTCACTATTTCGGCATGCATAAACCGCTCCTTCTCAAAAATCAAATCCTAACTGCACTCCTTTATTTTGGGCTTCTTGCTTGGCTTGATCGATGACTTGCTGGCGGCGTTGGTTAAATTGTCCGACACTTCTTTCCACAATATTCATGATTTCGTTTTTGAATTCCCTAATTTTCTCTTCCCGGTCTAGGCAGAGGCCTATATGGTCTCAATATCATTCTGCTTGCTCGTTTGGTGTATTTCCGCAAAAACAATAAGAAGGTTGTAAATCAAAATATTCTCCTCCGGCTGCGAAAACTTCCGCCAGGTCCATGCTGGCTTCCCTTATTTTATTTCTTATTTCTTCCCGGGCCGAACGGAGGGTGACTCAGAAATTACGATTCTTTTGTTCTCGCCACTCTTTCTCAATTTGACGAACTTCAACTCATTCGTCCGAATAACGATAATTCTCGCTACCAAAAATGTAAGCCAAACTCTCGGTGCTGACTTCCTTTCAATTTCTTTCTTGGTCATTGTTGGAAAGAAGCGATATTACATTTCCTCCACTGTTGCGAGCCTGCTGGTAAATATAACTTTTTTTAACTACAAATCATCAATTATAATTAAGAGGACCATAACTCGCTTTATTTTGTTGAGGGTCAAGTGTTAATTGAGCCTCAATAATGGCTGGTGAGGAGGAAATATTACCCTCCGCCGTTCTTCGTTGCGAAATGATTTCTCCCAATTTTCGTTTTAATTCTGGGGAAACAATACTATACCTTTTTCCGGAAATAGCGTTATAATCGGGTTGTAAATCACCCTGGCTAAAAATAAATCAACCCGAATTGGCGTTAAATTCTCGGATTTTCTGCTTCAATTTTTCACTGGTTCCGATAAACATAAGCCTTAATTTCCCTTCTCTGAACCAGTGCTTAACTGGCTATTAATGTTTGTTTTTTTTTTTTTTTTTGAATGCTGTCATACTGTTATATAATTTTAATTTTAAATGGGCTTAAACTTTAATAGATTCGCTAAATCGCTATCTTTAATATAGAGAGATGTGGTAGAAACCCGACTGTGTCCCAAAACTTTTTGTAAAATATTGAGTGGCATGCCGGCTAGAAGGTTATAAGTAGCAAAACAGCGGCGGAGAGTGTGAGGGGCTAATTCCGTATGAGGGCTGATTTGTAAATCATAGCGAACCCGTCACAAAAACTCCCAAAAATCCCGACGATTAGTCTGATTAGGCTGCCAATTATGGCTTTTCAGTATGGCGGCTATTTCCGGTGATACATAAACATAACGGTCTTTTCCTCTTTTGCCCCGCAGCAAATATAAATCCTGGTATTCGGACTCGGGATGCCGCAATTCTAGGTTAAAATTAATGGCTTCGCTGACCCGCAAGCCGATTTTTCAGCAGAGGAGAAATAAACAATAATGGATTCATCTTTTTCTTTCTCTTTTGTGGTTAGGACGAGTAGCAATAAATTCTTGGATTTCTTGTAAAAGTTGTTGGGAAGGGAGTTGTTGTAAACGTTTTTTGGGGTTTTTCATGAAAATTGGGAGGAATATAAAATTAATTTAATATTCGGATTTTGTTCGGTTTTCA